TGTTAACTTGGGGATTGAATGTGTCATAAGAGTCTCTCACTTTTTCAACTAGCTCATCTATGTCTCTAGGAAAAGAGTGATATTGCAAAGATTGAATAGACCTAAATAACCCTAAATCAAGCACATTCAAATCAGGTGACTGTGCTGGCTGAAAAACAAAATTTATGTTGAACACATTTGTTGTTGTTGCTGCCATAAATTCTACATCATTAGGAACTTGGTGAGGCCTTGCATTCTCCCATTAGATGACAACATTTTTGGCTAGACTTTCGGGACACTTTGAGATGATTGCTGGTTTGACCTTTGTCAGCAACATATCTCTAATCACTTCTCTGTTTACATTCTGGAGTGCCTTTGTTTCCAAAGTTCCTTTGGGTCTTTCTTTGCTTGATTTCTGTGCTACTTGCTGGACAGTAAATGGGAATATGTCATACTTCCCATCATGTAGGAGTTCCCCATTTCTATCATACATTGGCTTCCCAATAATTGCCATAAACATTGCCTTCAGCTTGAATCTTTTTTACTACACTGCCATGTATGGATCCTCCTCACTTGGCAGTAGATAAAACCAACTTTTATCAGGGTTCAAATAGAACCACTTCTCATCTATGTGTATGACATGTTTCATGTCAACAAATGTGGGGTCCCCATTACTTGTAATTGGATTTATATGTGGGCCAAAATCCATTTGAGTCTGGCTACCTTATGATCTGATGTCAGTGTTGGCTTATTGCAGCTTGTGTGTGTTCTTAGTCTTCCCCTTTTCTTCAAATTGTGAACAGTAACATGACTTATCTTCAGTGCTCCTGTATAACTTCTTTCTGTCTGCCTTAAATGCAAAGGGACTGCCTGTAGAATTTCATCAGATATTTGCAATGGCTTTCTCCCTGTTCTGCCATACTTCTTAGTCCTGACATCAATCAAGTCCCCTTTTGCCAACTGTTTTTTTTTATTTCCGTGAAGATTCTTGTGATGGTGGATTTGTGAACATTGAATTGAGATGATAAATGTTTCATGTGACCCCTTGGTAATCTTCCCTCATGCATTTTGACCAACATTGCATCAACAATTTGTCTTCTCTTGAGTTGCTTTCTGTCTGCCATTTAAGTCCCCTGATGAAATGGTTGTTGCATTTGTGAGGAAGCAACCTTAGCTTCTGTGTTTTGCTGGCCCTGTTCTCCTTCTTGGTTGCCTTGCATGTTTTCATCTTCAGATTCATAGTCCCCCATGCCTGCGTCTTGCATTTCTTCTTCATGGTCATACCACAATTCTGCCATCTGTTCTTCATTTAGTATGTGATCAACATCGAAAAACACAGCATCAACAACTTCTGCCGTCTGTTTTTCTTCTTCAGCAAAGCTTGATGATGTAGGGGGGCTGCTGAGTTTTTGTGGAATACACGAAAGATGCAGCTTGATGTGCAGGACTGATTTCAGCTTAGCCGATTTTTTTGGATGTTAATGGGCTGGTTAATGTGTAATTAATGTTAACTTAATGATGCATGAAGGCTTTATATGCCTTAAAAGGATTAAGATTTGTGCTGCTAACTCTGTTTTTGTAAACATTTAATGTCTTAGAATGGAGACTGTTATTTATAGTCCTCTTAATGATGAATGAAGGCTTTAAATGCCTTCAAAAAATTCAAATATGTGCTGTCTTTTTTTTGAAAAATGGAGGGAACCAAAATTTTCACCCAAAATTCAATAATTTCAATTTTTGGTGAAAATTTGGAGGGAAATCCACCCCATGTGTAATGCTGCCAGATTTTCCCACCCACCATTGCAAGTGGGTGGCCCTACTTTCTCTCTCCTATCCTTTTAATATAGTATACTTACTTTTCTTAATATTTGCCCTTCAATCTTTTGTATCGTAAACCGTAAAATGTGCCAAAGTTGCACATAAAATTAAATGAAGGTATATTTAACCTGGACCAGCCAAGGTGGCTAGACCAAGATTCAGCTAAAAAATTGTGTATGGCGATTTCTAAATGATAGATTTATTGTTTTTGGGCTTATGTTTTGGGCTTTATAATGAAGTGCAACCTTTTAGAGAAATTGGATGTCTCGGCCCGATACTCGTAAATTCATAATACTCCGTACTCCGCAGTGTTTATTACTTGCATTCGACTTTTTATGTACGAGTATAACCTTAATACGTACTTATCTTAAAAGTGTCTTTTAAAAAAAAAAAAAAAAAAAAAGAAAAAAAGAAAAACAATTGTAAAAAATTATCTATTAAATTTAGATATTTGTGAGAAACTAGCTTTAAAAAAAATTGGCAAGATGCGTGATCTAGGAATGCATGCCTATAATTAATCTTAGCCGTTGACTCAATTTTTTTCGGTGTTGTCCTCATGTTAGTAGCATATCTTTTTTTTTTTTTTTTTTTTTTACCGTTTACAATTAAAAAAGACCATGAGCGCCTCGTTTTGCATGTAAGAAATTGTATCGTTTCGTGTGCTTCGGTTTTGTTGTTAAGGTATAGGGCATCATTTTGGTTCTTAAAGATCAAATTCGATGTCAAAAGTGCCTAAAAACAAATATCAATGCCTCAAATTGCTTATAAAGAATTGCCTCAGTTTATAACTAACGGTCCATAATATTCTCTTAACTATGAGACATGGTCAAATATACTTCGTAGTATGGAGTAGATGATTGTAAATAATTAAGTGAAAACAATGCATTTTATCTTGAAACAGATGCATTATATGTAATAATTCTAGTTAATTAGATTATATGTGGTCAAACTCTCCTTTATCATATACACGATCTTTATATACAGCCAGACTCATCATTAAATTACCAACTCATTTTATCTGAAATTACAATTATTTATAAATTTATTAGTATTATTTTCTCCGGGATTATCATATCTAAACCACGTACACATTATTCTATCTAAATTAGTCAAAAAATTTGAAATTCAACGCCTTTAATCTTACAACAAAGCCCATGTGCATGTAAACTACGTATACGTAATAAGAAGCTAATTAAGCATATTTTTATGGCTTAACTAATTAATTACGGGAGCTTAGCTTCTTCAAAGCTTCGTATAATAAGACATTAAAACCTACCAATACACAACTAACTACTACTATACGAAAAGGTGAACAATAAATTTTCAATTCAAGAAAAAAAGATAATCTTAAATCCAATTATAATCCAATTTAAAATTTGACGCGTTTGTATGGGCATCTTTCGGCCCCATACATGACGCATTTAATTAACTACCAATCTTGCTTTATATTTAGCCAAACTTCCACTTGTATTGAGTTCCTATTTTATTTTGATTATTATTGTTTTTATAGTTACATAACTTATTTATTATTGGATATAAAAGTTATAATTATGTAACACAATTACACGTGGGTGGTTATGAACATTAAATGGGATATTATGGGCAGCCTTATTCATCAATAACTATAGAGTGAAGTCAATTAGTTGGTAGTGTACCTTCTAAAATACTAGAGGATGACTATACTTCGAATATGGTTGTAGGGCAGAGTAACCATACCACTCCGTAAATAGTTCATCCCGTGTTTATAATTCCGGCTACATTTCAAATTACGTACTTATTACGGAGTATATAATAATTGTGATTTACATTATGCTTTCGAAACAACTTTAAATTTTTATGAATAGAAAATATTATCCTTTTTTACCAAAGATGTAAGGCTAAGACTATTTTTTAATTTATTTTATTTCACGTTTTGATAGAGGCATAAAATGCAAATAATAAAAATATAATTTGATTTTGAGTACTTTATATTACTTTCATATTTCAACAAACTAATTTAGCTGATATTTACATACATAATCAAAGATACTAAGATTTAAATCAAATTTAGGTATTTTTTATTCGATAGAAAAATACACAAAGAAGTTAGGACCGTACTTTCTCAAGCTGAGAATCATCGATCCTACATGCATGGATAATGTTTCCTGAGTACATGAATTGCACTATACACTTTTTGTTTGTTTTGGACTTGAACCATACATTCTTATGCACAAACTAGACTTACTTTATTGGGGCTTGAATTCAGAGGAAGTTCATGTCCATAATTACTATTGTCATGAATGATAATAACAAGTGTCTGTTTGTACATTTATATCTTATGTTGGTATAGTAATTGTACCAACATAAAGTCTAAAAATACCAACAATCTTGTTGGTATATTTAGACCTCATATTGATATAGTAATTATACCAATATAAAATCTAAAAATATCAACGGGACTTTGTTATTGTCATTGAAGATATAAGCAATTATTGATTTAGACAACTTGATTTTAATACACCACCTTCCTCAGCTCCAACAAAAAAAAAAAAAAAAAAAAAAAAAGAGGTGCACGTACGCACGGTTGTATTATAGAATCAACTACTCGTCTAAGAAAATGAATGAAGTACTTAGCTTTGACTTCTCTTCTTTGGCTAACCACCATCCTTTAGTTGACTAGAAAATATATTTTCAACACATTTGATCTTATCATACTATATTAAAAAGCTATGAAATTCTACTTATACAAGGCAACTATACACCGTGGATTTTTCATCCTACTCTGTATCAAACTAGATTATTAGTCCATTACAATAAAGTACGTGATGACTTTTATTATTGTATGTGCGTTATTTTATATAATTAATGCTCAGTTATTCTTAATATTTCAGTTTTTAGTATTTTACATGCAAATATCATTTTTCTAAATATAAACATTACGGAGTATTTACTAAAAGTGTACTCCCATTCCTTTTTTTTTTGTTCTACTAGTATTATTCTTTCGTTACTTATTTAAAAGTTATATTTTAAGTATAAGTAATAATCTAGTCTTTTCATATTGGATAAAAGAAACATAGACAATTACTAAGAAAACGAGGGACGAAGGTATCGGAATAGAGCATGTATGGAGCAATATCCAATTTTAGGGACGGAAGAGGTAATCAAAAGCACCTAGACCAACTAAGCTTGTGACTGCCAGCCAAACTAGATCAAGAAAAACGGCGCAACTTAAGAAAAAATTCACCATATAACCGACCAAACCATGAATATACAAATTATTCAAAAATGTAATCATACACAAATTAAAGTTGCCAAACTTCCAAGAATCACACATATAATTATATAACACGCAATTGACTCAGCCAGCCACTGCTCACATGTTATAATCTTCAAATATAAACCATACTCCCAAATCCCTATATATATATATACACCTTATGTTACATTTTTATTATACCATAACTTTCACTTTAAAACCTTCCAATAATATTTCAATATACAAAATCAAATTCAAACAACAAAAATGGAGAGGAACAACACTAGAATGGTACGTATAGATGAAGACGAGCTTGAATGCTTAAGGAAATTAGCAGAGCCAATTGTTCAATCTAGAATTGTACGTATAGATGAAGACGAGCTCGAATGTTTAAGGAAATTAGCAGAGCCAAGTACTACTGATCGTGCATATCGTCAAAAGGTTACGCCTGTTACTAATACCAAGTCTAGATTGTCTAGCAATAATAATGATGATAATAAGATTTTTGTTCATGATGATGAATTTTTTCATCGAGTAGAAAAAAAAGTTGTAACGCAAGTGCCTGGGAAAAAACTAGAGAGTAAGAAATCTGAAGATATAAATGAAAGTGCTGAGAAATTTATTCAGAAATTTAAGCAGCAATTGCTTCTTCAACGTCTCGAATCGATTGAAAATGTTGAGAAGATGCTTGAAAGAGGGCTCTGAGATACACTACAAACAGAGGATCTGTGTTTTTGGGTGCTTGAATTATTATTTGATTGATTATGTTAATAATTTATTCATTTTAAAGTTTTAAGTTTACGTAATTACTTGTTTTTTCTGCATGTTTGTTAATGTTATAAATGTATGAAATAGTATTAATCAAGCATGTAAAGTAGATTATTCTTTTGTTGGGTATAATGATTTCTGGTTACTAAAGCTTGTATTAAATTTTCAGAATTCAAGATATCATCTACTACTATGATATTACTATTTAGTACCATTATTTGGTGGTGTTTTGGAGTCTATCTTCCTACTATATTGTCTTTTGCTATATGAATAGTGCAGTTGATCTGATACTTCTTTAATTGTATACTAAATGACCTATTTCTTTACCTTTGTTAAACATATCTTAAATCATATACTAGAAGAATGAAGTATAATTTCCAAGATATTATTGGAAACTCCAAATAATATTTAGGAAAAATTGGTAAAAATAATCCCAATTTTTACCCGTTCGCTCAAAATAATCCCAAATTTAAATTAGCCAAACTTTTGGGGTTATTCGCGTTAAACAATTCCAACCGGTCACCAACCTATTATATCAAGTTACGAGGACACGTGACACCACATGAATGATTGAAATTTTTTTTTTTAAAAAAAAAGGAAAAACTAAATAAAAATTTTTAAAAAAACCCCAGGCCCCACCCACAACCACCCTCCCCACCACCACCCAAAGAAGTAGGCCGCCCCTAACCGCCGCACCTAGACCCTTCCTCCGGCTTGCCTGCGTCGGCTCCCTTCCCCAACCTCCTAAATCACCTAATATCGACCCCAAAACCCCCATTATCACCGCAAAACCCCGACTAGGATTCTAAGGGTGGGGGAGGGCCGGTTGGGGGGTTTTGCGGTGGGGCTGGGCTTTTTTAAGGGTTTCGGGGTGTGATAATGGGGGTTTCGGTGGTTTAAGGGTTAGGGGGAGGGGCAGTGCTGGAGCCGAAGCCGACGCCGGCGAGGGGAAGGGGGGTGGGTGCGGTGGTTAGGGGCTGGGTTACCTGGACTGGGTGGTGGGAGGGGGCTGTCAGAAAATCCGGGTTGGTGATAGGGTTTTCAACTGTTTTTTTTTTTTTAAAATAAATTTATCTTTTTTTAAATTTTCAATCAATCACGTGGTGACACATGTCACTTAAACCAAAAAAAAAAATTACCTCTTTAAAGGGTAACTGGTCACTTGGGACCGTTTAAAGCGAATAGCCCCCAGATTCGGATTATTTAAAAATATAATAATCCAAAGTTGAGATTATTTTGAGCGAATAGACAAAAGTTGAGATTATTTTTACCAATTTTTCCTAATATTTATAAAACTACATATCCAAACGAGCATTACAATATCTCATATGATTATGTTTTTCCTTATATAAATTGTTATTAGTCAAAAAAATCTTTCCAAATGAAAGATTGTACTTGAGATTTAAACAATAAAGGAAATAAAGGGATCAGATCGGTCCAAGTTTTACTATATACTCTTGTTTCTAAGAAATGCTGAAAAAAAAATGGGTTTGAAAAGATGTACGGAATATAATAATTTGGCATAATAGATGTTAAATACTTAAATTTGCCAAAAAAATGTAATGAAATAAATGTGTCAAATTAAACTTTCTTAAACACCTTAATACGAAAAATGAGTCTAACTTCAGGAGACATCATTCATACATATATTGGGCTGGCTGAAATAGTCGAACTTGGAACTATGGAAGTTGTGCACTTTTCTGCTTGCAACCCAAATGAACCCCATCGAAAATCTTAATTAAGAAATTAACCATAAGTGACACAATTCAATTTTGATACTTCCTCCGTGTTTAAATAGAACTAGATTAAGTCCCGTGCCACACACAGTTTTACAAAATTTTATAACGAATTATAATGTTAATTCAAAATCTACCAAAATATAATCCTCATATTTTTAAATGAAATTGAAAAAGTTTGAATCTTAATTTATATCAAGAATTGAGCCCCAAATTCTGATTAGACCAAACAGTGAACAAGGTAAAACATCAAAAAAAAGGTAAAAGATATAAAATAATATTTTATACAATAAAAATATGGAAAATATGTGAATATTTTCTTAGGAAGTGAATCACAATTATATGATTTGGTGAATATTTTTTTTTTTAAGAAAGTGAACTGCAATTATATAAAGAAGTGAATTTATTTTTTTTAGGAAGTGAATAAAAAAACAAAGAAAAAAAATTTTGGAGGGAAAAAACAGCACCAAGAAGTGACACGTGTCATTCTTGGCGTCTGTTTTAGTATTATGTTATTGATTTATTACATACTCTTAAGGACTATACATAAGCATTAAATACGCTTCTTAAAATGGAATAAAGTTGGGAGTTCATGTCATAGTCACGTGAAAATCGGTGTAATTAATGTTTATCTATCCTTAAACAGAGTATATTTTTTTTTTGGCTTCTTAAGCAAGCTATGTTTATCATTTTTCGCATTCTAAAATTACCATTTTTTTTCCCTAATTTTGATAATCTCAAATGGGTAATGCTATATATAGCCCTTACGGCTATGAATAAGAATTTAATAACCTTTCTTATTTGGTATTTAGTATTAATTTAGGAATGCATGATAAATCATGCGCAAATCAGTGTAATTAAAGTTATTATTTCATTTTATTTTTCATCTTTAGCTCTTTATGTGTAACCCTGACGATTATGTATAGCATTTTCGATCTCAAATTACCTACTAGTATTTGGATAAATCCAATGACTCAGCAGCAAGTCAAATGAGATTTGTCATAATTAGCCATATTTATTGTATCCAAATATTTGGATTCTTATATTGTTTCTCCACGAAGAATTCTTGTGGAAAAATGCATATGGACTTATAAGACTTGATCACTGAAGCCCACTATAGCTCAACTCATATGGAGACAACTTGGGCTAACCAGCCCACCAAACTCACTGACCTATCATATTGCCAGTAAATGCCAAAATGGGTCTTGAAGTTTTTGTATTTTTTGTTTTTGTTTTTTAGATTTTAATTAATATTATTATGAATAATGCACATCCTCAAAGTCTCAAACCTAGATACATTTGGTTGAAAAATAATGTGGTGAGGAATATGTGATATGGTGAAAAAAAAATTAAAAAAAAATCTCTATTTTATGTATGATGAAAATTGTATGTATAATCAGTGCTTATTAGGCTGAACATGAGGAGTAATATTATCTAAGAAGATGTTAATCCCTCGTATTTTCATTTCTTAGGAATGGGTAGCTGATTGTAGACTTGTAGTTTTGTAGTTTTGTTTAGCATATGAAATTGAAATTCTACGGGCGGCTCTAGAGTAAGTAATTTCATTTGGTGAGAGCCAAAACCTACTAACAAGTGTAACTTCCCATAAATAAATATTACGATATACAATCAAACAATTCCACCTTCGCCCACTTCTTAGATTTGTTAATTTTTCATAAACTTTACCATCAACCAAACAAGCACTCAATGTACACAAGTCACCCATTGTCACACAAACGTTAAACAAACTTCATCCATCTGTATTAGTCGCTATACTGCTAATATTCATGTATACCACATCATCAATGTGATAAGTGCAACGCATCGCAATGCAACACAAGCCTAAGCCAAGTGTTGAACCATTTTTGAAGATTTTGGGACCAATGTTGAAAACTCGGGTGAAGATAGGTTATACATATTGGGGTTATATGATGTTGTTTGAAATCATATGTATATATAAACCACTAATCGATCATATAAAGCTCGTGGTGGACTTAACATGAGTTATTAAAGGGAGGTGTGTATAATAGTATAAGGCAAAGTTGATGGCTTCAACCATCTAACCTCCTAAAGTCTTGTGGGGTCCATGAGAAATTTCTTATCATTTTTTTTTCTAGGCCCAAAAATAAATAAATTAAAGTGGGGAGGGGTGGGGGTGTCCTCCACAGTCATAAATTTTGGTTTGCATCCATAATAGACGTACAAACAAGTTTATAAAGTCTCGAGATTTCGAGATTGAGTTTGGTTTAATTATATGAATATTCTAAAAAAAATTGTAATGAAAATAAAAAAGATACAGGAGATGGTTCCAATATAATAATTGGTTTGCAAAATGAAATGTGTCAGAAATTCTTCATTGGGTTACCAAACCTAGCTAAACTCACGAATTACCATTGTTGATGCTTGCATGGGTTGAAATATTGATGTTACACATGCCATTACCATTGTTAATTTTGGTTGTTTACAATTGTCCATAGCGAAGCCTTTGTTCATGAAACTTCATTTCATGGGTAGCAAGAATAATTATTGTTAATGGGAAATCATCACAGTTAATTTTGTTTTCACCAACATTCCCTTTTATCCCTATTTCCCTAATTTCTTTTCATTTTTTTTCACCATGATTAAAGAAAAAAAAAATAATAAATAAAATCAAGGCAATGATATATAGACTGATAGAGTAGTAGATTTTTCTCTCAAATTCTTTTACCAACACACTTATTGCAAGTTGAACATGAGAAAATAAATATTCCATACACTTCATATACCCAATTATTAAATCATTGCCTCAATCAAATAGTTTATTCTCACTTTGTATATCAAGGAATAGAGAGTAAAAATAGTCATTTCAATCATGTAGTTGTATTTTGAGTTCTCAACTAACACGACATTTTGTATGTTGAGTCCCTTAGGTTTTGATTGATAGTTTTGAATGATGACAAACAGCTAAGGGAAACAGGTCCTTGAAAGTGTTCGATACAGTTGGGGGAACCAGCTAACATAGAACACTGTTTCCCCAGACAAGTTATTACTTACATGAGTTTTCTTATTGAACTAACTTGTCTTTATACAGGGAACAGTTATATGATAAAAGTGTTATGTACTGGTAGGGAACCAGTATGTACTGTTTCCATGGTTGCTACGTGGTACAGCAGTCACTTACTTTATGTTGTGCATTAACCATGTTACATGTGCAGTAGTTGAGTTGATTCCAAGACTTGGAGCATAGAAGCCTTTCGAAGATATTTCGAAGAAAGATTGTTTGCTCATAATAGAAGTATTCAAGGAAGATTCAAGTCTTGAAGATTACATGAAGAAAAGACGATTTATGCTTTAATATGTTATCTAGGTTTTCATGTAATATGCTCCGTAGTATGCTTGCATGTTTGGGTTATATAAGTGCTTAAAAGTATATTGAAGTATGATATGAAATCTGGTACAAAGTTGGAACAGGTTTCATAACATGTTTCAATTCAGGGAACCAGGTCGGGGAACCAGGTTCACTGTATTCGAGCTGCCGTTTTGGAAAAAGATTTTACAAAAAGATTTTTTCGAAAAGATTATTTTGAAAATATTTTGTGCAGCTGGAAATAAGATGAAATATTCTTGGTTACCTAAAAACTAGGAGTATTTATCTTAATTGATTCTATCTTTGTGATTAAATCAAATAAGATAAAAACTTTCCTAAAATTACATTATATCTTATTCTCTAAGATTGTGTGATTTAAGGAAACTAGGTTTTAGGAATCTAAGCTTATATAAACTCATCTTATTTCACATATTTCGTGTGCCTCTCCAGAAATTAAAAGAGCAATTATTTGAGAGCATATACTTAAGCACTAATCCCATTCATCAAGTCATATACAAGAGCATTCTAGTACTTAAATATTTTCTCTTAATTAGCTTCGTAGAAGTGAGATCAAAGGGGAGTTCTTGATTCTTGTATTGAGTCTTTAACAAAGTGGTTAAAGGCTGGGTGAGTGTTTGTGAGTTCAAACACATTGGGCTTACGAGTGTAAGTCGAGAGCACACTCGGAGTAGAGTGTGGGGTTTGCTGGTTCCCGGAGTAGGGAACAGCAGAGTGTTCTTTGTCTTTGTTTTTCGGAGTAGATTAATAAAGAACTTAGGATAGGAGGACGTAGGCCTGAGTTGGCTGAACCTCGTTAAATTTGTTGTGTTCTTTATTGCTTTGTTTCGTTAAATTTGTTGTCTTCTTTATTGCTTATTTATATTCCGCTGCGTACGGGAACCAGCACAACTGGTTCCTCACACATAATCCGAAAAGAAGCAAAATTAGCCAACGATTACTTAACACTCAATTCACCCCCCCTCTTGAGTGCCCATTGAACCTTCATTGTAGAAACTAGAAATACTTCTTCATAAGATTGCAAGAAGATACCACCTTTCAAGTATAAATTAGAATATCCTTAATAGTGTCATGTAAAAATTTATAACTTGCATACAAAGTTTAACAGAAAAATAATGAATGATTGAATTGACAAGTATTTAACATTTCATTTGAAATAATGAGAAAACAACAATCTTGTTTTTCATTTTCCAATCACTACAACACCATAATTTTATTTTAGATCTTGCAAAAAAACAGTGACATTTCGCCTTTCGTCCCAAGAATATAACACCACAAACCCATAAACCAAACAAAAACAGAACACTGTGAAGTCCTCCTTACTTTGATACATAGTACTTCTTACATTACCAACATCTCCCTATAATCTTAACTAAAATAGTCCATAATTTTTCAAGTTCTCAACCTACAAGATTGATATGCGCCACATTTTCATTTTCCCCTGCTTTGGTCCCAATATTTGTGTTCATCTCTACTGCTGGACCACAGGGCTAGTTTTCTGTTGTTGCTGTAAGAGGTCGAATTTCACGAGCGAGCACGATCTTACCATGTCTCCCGAGAGAGGAATCACTGGGAGGTTGTCGCAGTTGCATATTTCGATCATGAAACCGTCTGGATCATGGAAGAAGAGCTGATCCACGAATATTCCACCTTCTTCGACTCGTGCTCTTATATGCTTGATCCCCATTTCTTTCAGCTTCTTCTCTACTGCTCCCATGCTTTCACACTACATGTATAAAATAGTATAAAGTATAAACATGAGATAACTACTTAAGCTATGTAGATATTTCAAATGTATACCTACAATGTTTATATGATCATTTGAGTTAAATTCCTGAAAAAGAAAGTTAAATACACTAGCTCAATCATATGACTAACATTCTTTTTTAATTTATAGAAGAAGATTAAAGATGAGAAACATATAAGTCTAGTGGGTATTCCACCTATTGTCGATTGATTTCGGATGGATGGATCCCCAACCAGCCTTATATATGATCATCCTCTTCTTCAATGCGGACCTTGAATTACCATTCAAATTTTTGAAATGATATCAAAGCCAAGGAGGATCTCATCCGAACCCTTCAAAAAAACAAAGATCACATCTCTTTAGGAAGAGTTAGTTATAAGTCACCTAAATTGCTCCAAAACAAAAATTGAATCCCTACAGTTCATTTACCATACTTGCCAATTACTATAGCTATTACATACAAAACTTAGTACGTAGGACTACTCAATCACCTTTGAACTATAAGAGTAACAACTTGTTAAAGTCGCGTTAGTTACATATACTAATATTTTGAAAATACTTTGATCCAACAATTTATAGACATGGATAAAAAAAAATATCTATTGTAGCGTACCCTGTGACTAGGACCATCATAAACACATCTCAATCACGGCATGAGTTGTTGCTGACTCTTCTAATGGATAACACTATTGCGTATTACGTAACGTAGTACATGATAGTCTAGAAATTTCGAATCCTATATGCATAGTTCTATTTCAATTTCTTTATATCAACTTCAATTACGTAATCATAGTGACTTTCTTGTGCATTGAAACAACCTGTGTCGTATAAAATGACAATTATATATAATTTTTTTATAAATGATGAAGATATCTTAAAGGTGATTAGCCATCCATTCGTAATTATAGCAAGACGACAATGATATCTTCAATAATCAACATCCCACAGATTGTACATTTAGATCACCCTGGGTTCTCTCATGTATCGTCATGTAGACTCGAACTTGAAACCTCCAAATTCACCATTGTTACTTAATAGTGAACAATAATAAATGAATAATATAATTCTCTTTTTCATAATTCATTTGTAATTGAAGTAATGGACAAACGAGAATATTCTGTGTACACTAATCATGTGCATTAGAACGTATAAATAGTATGCTTCAAACCCGATAAGGACTAAACACTTGTCAGTTGTAGGTAGCTGAATGTACATGCATTGTGAAATCACCATTTTGAAACTAAAACACGTTTCTCTTTTTATTTTGGAATTTTCAATTGATGACAAATTGATAATGTTGCCCAAAGTAACAAATAAAAGTGGTTCATGAATCATGGATCATGGCCTCAGGTCTTAAACATGTCACTTTTTATGTGTAAATGTTAAGGTTGACAATTGACACGTAAAAATAATTTGTTCATGTAAGAGTATACGTCCAACTAGTTCATTTGTTTGTATACCACTCAAAAACAAAATTCTCATGGCATAAAATCATCTTAAACAAAACTTGATCACATCTTAAACAAAACTTGATCACATAATTACGTACGAGTGTACGACTATATAAATTCAAGTCTTTAATCAACTAAAGACATGCTTGATTTATCTGATTTTGTTTGAATTTTTTTTATTGACAAATATTTTTGTCTAAAATTATTATATCCAATTTTTTTTTAATATAAGCTTATTTTATTTTAAAGTAATACTTTAAACTTTTTTTTCTTCTAAAATTATTTTTCAGAAGCAAATTAAACTAAAATGCAACAATCATACCCTTAAAATAAAATCACTCTATATACTTAAATTAACATTAATTCCTTCTTTAAAAAAAAAAAAAAAAATCCTAATTTAAGTGCACTATTAATAGAAGTAACAATTACCTGAAAAGAAATGTGGTTATCCTTTGGATTAATTTCTGTTTTTTTGGGCAATTTCTCTGGTTCAGGCGCCTGTAACAAGTGTATTCCAATTCCGTACCCAAACAGCCTAAATTTTCCAAAAAAAAAAAACAAAATTAATAAAAAAAATATATAATCAAAATCAACCCCAGAAACCAAAATCATTACGACATACTCCCTCCGTTTCTCAATACATTGCCCGTTTTTAATCCGATGCATGGATTAAGAACTGGAGATTTTATATCGAAAAGAAAGCGAACCCTTTAAATTAAAATGAATTGAAAATATAGGAAAATTACCAAGCTCCATCAAAATCAAATGAACCGGGTCGTCTAATTGGAAAAAACCCAAGAACATCTTGATAAAAGCTAATGGATTCTTCAATTGAACGACAAAGAAGAGAAATATGATTTATAGATTTTAGGTGAAGCGGGTTTCCTTGAACATCCTTCATTTTTTTCCTTGATTTTTGCCCCTTTATTTTTAATGAAAATCCAAAAAAATCGGCACTTTTTAAAAATTAACTGATTAATTTGATCACAAATAACCTTGAAATAGGGAATTGATTTGATAATTTAATGAAAATTATTAAGAAAAACAGAGGAATGATGAAAAAACAGGGGAATGATAATATCAGCAAGTTTTTTATTTATTTTTAGAGTTTTGGTTGTGTCATTTGTGGAAATTGGGAAGGGTTTATATAGATGGAGAATCGAAGATGTAACTGCCACGTGTATCTTCAATGATTCTATGACACGTAGGTTCCACGTTGATGTACACATGACATTAAATGGAATTTTATGATCCCCTAGTTTAAAAATAATTGGTACACTTGACTTTGTAGAAATTTTATTCGACACGCTTTATTTTCATATATGTCTAATTATATGTAATATTACATGTTGGATTGATATGTTATACAATATAAAATAATTTGTATAACAATATATTGGAGTGTATTTCATTTGATATTGTTCTAATGTTCTCCTAGTACAATGTACGCTCATGCACCGCTCTTTAACTAGGTTCTCATTTAATGTTAGGATACATTAAACGTTGACACTTACAGACTTATGTAATTTATACGAAGTATATTGTATATGATTAAGAAAATGTACATATTACCATTTGAGAATTGAGATTTCTTAGATTCCAATAATGTAATTGTATATTTTTATAATGTTTTAAACTGTTTAGCATTATACTTCATAACTAAAGATGGTAATGCTTAAAGGTGTGCATTAACCGTAACATCTCAAATACATATGAGAACATTTATACTACGTAGAAACAAAGATAATAACTAATTTGAGAAAAATATACGGAGTACTTTATACCGGAGTAGTATTTAGTTTTACCCAAGGAACATGATTTTTCCCTTTAAGGCAATTTTCTGATGATTATTGTAGTTAAGGTTGATGATAATGATAATAAGACCAGACAATTTCTGATTAATACGTCATTAAAAAAAATGTGATTAGGCTGATAAATTTTAACTACTTCACAACTTGATTTTAGTCGGATCTGAGTCAGCTTTTCGGCTAGAGTTTTTAATCAACAAATTAAATCCAGCTCATCGATAATTCTATACAACATACTTCGTATTACATATTGTAATTAGTATACGCGTATTAAGTAGTACTTAATTTTTTCCTTGTGTTTGGTAATATAAGAAAGGTATCAACCAATTAGAAAAATTCTTCTTTTTTTTTTTTTCGAAAATGCTAAAAAAAAATTATTGTCACAAATGACTGATGATATTTTGGATAAGGACGATGATGTGACAGGTAATAAATTAGAAAAAATAATAATTAAAGACAATATATGACATTAGGAAATTGGAAAATATGGAGATCATAACATAAATAGAAAGATTACTGGAATAAAAATAAAGAGGTAACAAAATCTTCTTAAAAAGGCAATATATAATACAAACAGATGGAAGGATATACAGGATAAGGATATGATATGATATGAATCATAAATTCATATGATAAATGGGTTTAATCAGGTTGAATTCATATTGTTTGGTTCAAGTGTTATTAATTTTAGATGGGATTTTGATAGTATTGTTGGGACCGGTCAAAAATTATAAGCTCAAATTACTCAGACCGACTTCCAAAGAAATATGCAACACTTCCTTAATACTTGTACAAATGTTGTCCCATTATTAATACTTAACGGTATGTAGTCTCACTATATATCTTTCTTTCAATCGATACTTAATAAAAAACGAAGTAATAAAAACTGTGTAACATAAACTTCGAGTTGAACATATATTTAGAAATAAAGGGAGTAACAAATAAGTCATTGCAGGATCGGATGTTGTACAAAGACAAGAAATATAAGAGCCACTAGCCAGCAATAGCATCATATGAGAAGACAAAGATAGGCAGTAGTAGCACCAGGTAGCCGTGCACATGGGCTCGTTCGCACCGAGTGCTAGGTGCATCAATGTGCGAAGAGTCGTACCTACCGGCTTTGTAATTATACGATTAATTACGTCAAGTTGAATAAAGATAGCCACGCTTCTGATAGTTTTTGTTTTGGTGTCTTGTTAGTAATTAGTGATAAATTGATAATAGTACGTATAATTTGATTTTATTTTTTTTGAATAAAAACATAGTTTAAATATAAGGAATTTAACTGGTATGAAGTCTCACCATTTTCATGGTTGCAAGATCGATTCTCATATCTTACATCTACCGGTTGAAAATTAATCTCAATTAGACCAATCGAATGAATGCATGCATTATGTACGCAGTTGATAAAAAAACAACTAAAAAAAGGGTGCTTAGCATTATAATCTACAGCTAATTAATGTCAATCAATAAGCAACGTATGATTATGATCAATAAAAAAAATCATGTAACCCTAGTTGCACTGCCGAAAGCCATGTGATTTTTGGACTGATTTGCGTATAGTTGTATATTAAAAAAAAAATGTAGTAAAACTTACCAAATGTTACGTATTTACACTGTCTTGTATGTTTGATTTTAAAAGAAAATTATCCTTCCCTACTTGAGGTTGACAACACGGTTGCTGATTGCCGTGAATTTTTTGTTGTTAAACACGGGTGAATGGTTGATGATGTAATTTCATTGTATACATTCACTAAATACAGAACATGTATAATACTCCCTCTGTTTCATAATGATGATCCTGTTTATGTAAATCGATATAAGTTTTTACCCATCTTTAACCGCAAATATCTTTAGTATCACATTAGCAAAAATTATAAAAGTTAGATATTAATAATGTACTCATCAAGACGAATCAAACTAGATACCACATGACTATATTTGTTCTTATAGATTGAGAGAAATTAAAAACATTCTCTTTTATTTTTAAAATGTCAAAGATTTCAAATAGGAACATCATTATAAAACGGAGGAAGTATACATGTTTTTTTTTAATATATTTGCTTACGTTGAATTTGATAACATGTAAAACGAACGATCAATGGTAAAGAAGATGTAGATGGGAGAATGAAAGCGATGAAACCACATGATTGTAAAGGAAGTGAACTAGTGAAGTATACTTTTAAGGACATACCTAACAAACCTTGGACATACTTTTAAAGGTAGAGGATTTAATTAAGTAAAATGTTATTTTGATTTTATGATTTGATTAAACTTAATCCTTATTAATATTTTATTAACCTTTAAAACTAAATGTTACCAAATTTGTATTAATGTGTAAGTTCACATATGAAATTTTTATAATTTATTAAGTACGTAATTAATTAAGATATTTAGTGATAAATCAAACACAAACAATTTGTTCTCATTTGATTTGATGTCTAATTAATTCAAATATAAGTGAATATCTACTACTTAATCAAATAAATTGAACTGAACACAACCATCATTCATTTTTTTTTTTTTTGGTGTTTAGAGAGCCACAAGGACGGATGATGAGAATCGATCTCAGGAGCCCCTGAAACCGAGAGAGAAACTTTAACCACTTGAGCTATCCTCACACCCCACACAACCCTCTTTCATCAATTCAAATTTTTATTCATTTTTTTTTTTTCAATTCACTTGAGCTAACCTTTTTTATTCAATTTTTTTTTTTCCTTAATAGATCTTATTTAAGTTAGTGGACCTTATATAAGATCCTATTCATGCTTGTATCAATTCTTCTTTTATCTATATATTCTAAACATATCAACCGTTATCTTTATCTAAAGTTATTAGAATACTTTATATTATCTTATTTTAACTTGTTAGCACAATAACACTTATTTTATTTGAATTGATTAAACATAAAATCAGTAAAAATAAGATAATAAAAACATATTTCCTCAGTTTCTTGTTAGTTGACACGTTTCTTTAGTCACGTTTGCCAATGCACAAACTTAACCACTAATATATTTAATTACTGATAAGCAAAAATTATAAAAAGTTGATATTTTAAAAATATATATCGTGACGAATCTCATAAGATCTCACATTACTATCTTTTTCATTACATATAAAGATCAAAATATGATAAAAGAGAAGTATGTGAATAGTGCTAAACTCAAAACGTGTCAACTAAAAAAACGAAGGTAGTGGTTCATATATTTCGTCAAGCTATTGTAACTAAAAGTATGTAGAGGGTGTTTGATTATTCATTCAATCCCAAAAAAACCAGGATAATTCATTCGGATATTTATGTAGCTAGCTGTGGGCCTTGTGGCCCTCTAAGATGATGATAAATTGATAATGATGAAAGATAATACGAGTAAGAAATTTAGGGTTCGAAAGTGATAAATAGTGTAGTGTACTGTGTACATGTTACATGTATAAGGTGATTCACGGGTAACCGACCAGTGGGAAAGTCTGACATATGTCAATATCTTTTACATGTCGAGACTTTGAGATACTTCCAATCTTCCAGACTCTTCTTTTATTTATCTTCGTTTCTTTATCACATTTTGCTCACTTCAGTTTTCCACTTAATTTTATTACGTAGTATTATAATTTTTGTCTTATCTCTCTTTCACATTGGATCTTTTTCACAATTGCTTTTATATGTTGACATTGAAGACTACCTAATTAAACATCACTATAATTCGGTGTTTCAAGTAGGGCATATATTGTGGGGCATTCAATGTTATTACTCTTTTGATTCTTTTGCATTGAAAATTTGATATCATAATTATTTTTATTGAGTTGGTCCATTGGTGTTTTATGTTGTTGAACCGTAACATGACAAGGTTACAATTTGTATCAATCTAATAAGGTTCTTAAAACTCCTGCATTTTGAAATTTACACTTATGCGTGCTATTATGAATAACATGTAGAATCAAAGAATACTAAGATTATTATATCCAGTTAAATACTTACGCTAATATGAGTGTTTTATAGATTCAAAGAATTATCTCCAATATTGAAAAATAAATAAAATGTTAAATAATGCACAAAATTAAAGTTTATACTTACCGTCTTACGAATCTAAATTTTATATTCATTTCTTGTTATTAAGCCTTTTCAATGTGGTAAACTTGTGTTAAGTAATCTGCTACTTCGATCCCTCCATTTTATATTGTTCTTTTTACTAAGAATTTTTTATGTGAGATAAAATTGATCAAAGTAAGAAGAACCATATAAAATGAGAGTATTTCTTTTATTAATGAAATTATGCAAGCACGACGATAAACACTAGAAAAGTTGCGGCTCCCTTTTTCACATG